GTCTCGGGGTGCTGTATGTGCATGGATGGGCGGTAGGTCGCGTTGAACATACGCATTTGTCGTTCCATCTCTTCCAACCTTTCTCTCGTTCTTCTTGCCTCCTCATCCCGTATCCGAGCTTCTTCATCCCGCCTTCGAGCCTCTGCTTCACGTTCCTCCAATTGTTTCTCGAGGCGGGTAACCCGATCATCATACGCCGAATGAGAAGATGAGCTAGCTCCTTTGGACTTCTCCAGGATCCGCAAACCTTCAGAACCCATAAGCGGCACCCGGCCCTTGTAAACTCCGGTTGCCGCCAAGATGGCCTCATCATTTTGACTTTCATCAAGTTCGGCATCAGAATCACCTAGCTCATCAACTCTCTTCCCCCGCTCTTCCTCATATTTTTTCTACAAGTTTAAAAATTTATTATATAAGAGATCAAAAAAAATCAAAATTTATTGAATTATTGAAGTTTCATTATTTACTTCAATTTCAGAAAGGCGGGGAGGCGGCGTTCCAGCACCCTTCTTCGTCCAACAATGTACCATGAGTTTCCATGGTGTGACCCTTTTTTTCACGGGTCCAGATCCTTCCTACACGGATTTCAAAGTTAATCAAAAAATATATATATACATAAGGGAATGTAATGGAAATAATTTTAATTAATTAGAGTTTACCAGATCTTTTTTATGTTGAACTTGGGGTTTGCGGCCCCCGTGCCATTGAACTTCCTTGGCTTTTTCCGAGTTCCGATTTGCCTTGGCTGTTTCACTTCTCATCAAAAATGCGGGATCCGTGGCCCAATGGTGGCAAAGCATCTCCCACACATCATCGCCAAGGAATCTTGGCTTTCGACCGGTAGACCGGGCAGTCCTAAAGGTGGGTCTCAACCACCCCGAGATCCTAGAATTGTATTCTTTGAGAATAGCTTGGTCTAGGGCAAAATGCCACCGATGGGAAGCCTTCATTAAAAACATTGATATATCATTTGTTAAATTTAAGTTATTAAAATGTAACAATTTTTTTTTATTTTTACCTTGAACAACCGCCACCATAGTTCACGAGTGGCCGCCGGAACCTCACCATAAGTCGACCAAGGCCCCGTGAAATGACCACAAACAATACCCTTGATTCTATTTAGGACCTCGGGATCGCTTCAAAAAAAATTGATAATTGATAAAAACAATTGTATTAATTCTTAGATGTAGAGATTATACTATTTTATATTAGACAGTGTTAGTTTTTTATTACCTATGGATTGATTGAGGTGTCACTTCAAGCGAACTGGGATTGTGGCGCTCTTCTTGAGTTGGGGGGCATATATTGCACGAGATGGAGGAGGTGCATGGGAGGTTGATGCCCCATCCCGATGCACGCTGATATGAGCATCTGATTGTTCGGAGGGAGGAGTTTGGACATGTCCGTCATGAGCATGTCCTTCATCGGCATTGATATCATCATTGATATCACGATCAGCGTTTGAGGCACGTCGTGAATTCTGGCGACCACGGCGAGCAGAGGTGGAACGGCGGCGTTCGTGCTCACTCATCTAAAATTATTGAGAAATAATATATAGAACATATTAAACTTGTGTTTAATATGAGGGGTCGAATGAGTTTTTAGTTTGATTTTTATGTTATGGAATTTAATTGTGTTAGGTATTATTTTATCAAACCTTATAAAATCAGTTTATGGTGTTTTGTGTGGTATAATGGTTTAAACTTAAAAAATCAATTTCTTATTTATTTATCAAACTTTGAAATATAAAACACATTAAACTTGAGTTTAATATGAGGGGTCGAATGAGTTTTTTGTATGATTTTTATGTTATGAAATTTAATTGTGTTAGGTATTATTTTATCAAACCTTATAAAATCAGTTTATGGTGTTTTTGTGTGGTATAATGGTTTAAACTTAAAAAATTAGTTTCCTATTTATTTATCAAACTTTGAAATATAAAACATATTAAACTTGAGTTTAATATGAGGGGTCGAATGAGTTTTTTGTATGATTTTTATGTTATGGAGTTAACTTGTGTTATGTATAATTTTATCAAACCTTATAAAATCAATTAATCAAACTTTTTATATTAAACTAATAAAATCAGTTTTTTCATATTAAATTATAAAACATATAAAATCAGTTTTTTGCATTAATTTAGAAAAATACAGTTTATTACACCTTGTATTTTGTATTAATTTATAAAAAAGAGTTTTCTGATTTTGTAAAAACTCAGTTTTGTATGAAAAAATCAGTTTTTGTTTATATAATACAAAAATGATTTCATATGTTTCATGAAAAAATTGATTTTATAGGTTTCCTGAATAAACTGTTTTTTTGTAAAATAATAATCTGTTTTTTATAAATTGATTCAAAAACTCTTTTGAATCTATAAAATACAGTTTTTTACTTAATTTCAGTTTTTTACCTATGAAATCAGTTTTTTTGTATTGTTTCAGTTTTTTTTATCAAACCTTATAAAATCAGTTTTTTATTCCCTCCGTCCCTAAAAGGATTGCCAAGTTTGACCGGCACGTAGAATAATAAAGTAAAAACTGTGTGGTAGATATTTGTACAGAGGAGAGAGAAATAACAGGGGCCACAAATTGATTGATTAAAAAGGAAAGTGGCAAAATTTTTGAGACAACCAAAAAAGGAAAGTTGGCAAAGTTATAAGGGACAGAGGGAGTACTTATCAAGCTTATAAACAATTTAAAAAAATTATCTATAACGTATTAAATATTATAATGTTTTTTATGAAACGACGCTTTTTGTATTAATTTAAAAAATAATTATTTGTAATGTCCGAAATTAATTAAAAATCAGTTTTTATCAAGTTTTATAAACAATAGTTAGTAATATCCGAAAAAACATAAAAAAATTAATTAGCAGTTTCATGATTTTGTTGGGTTAGACATGCTAACTTTTTTGAAAGTGTAACATGAGGGGGCGAAAATTGGAGGAGTTGAAATTATTATTCTTAATAAATATCCGAAATTAACAAAAGCTCAAAAACTCAAAAATATCCTTGACTAAATATTTAATAAATTACTATTCTTAATAAATATCCGAAAAACTCAAAAACATATAAACATTCAAAATCTAGGGCATGCATTTTTAAATTAAGAGAGAGAACATGATCAAGCATATAAACAAATCATATGAACAAATCATGAAACAATAAATCTAGGGCATGCATTTTTAAATTAAGAGAGAAAACATGCATATGAGTATGTAATCATATAAACACATAAAAAATGAATGCATATGAATATATGAACAAATCATTGAAATATAAATATTTTTAGCATGCATTTCAAAGAAGTAGAACATGCATTTGAGTGTATAATATTACAAACAATAGCATTTTAAATCATTTCCAATAATTTAAGTATACGGAAATATTTGAGTATGTAAGCACATAAACATATTGAACGTATATGAGATATGAACATATAAACATATTGAATGCATAGCAGCTTATTAACATATAAACATTAAATTAAACAATTAAACAATATTAAGAAATACATGCATTTTGTTTTTGGCATTTTAAAACATTTATAATAAAATATTCGGAAATTAAAGAGTTAGAAACATAACCTCAATGAAGGAGAAGAAGGCAAGAAATGGAGATGAGTGAAGGCTTCGAAGGACGGCGGCAAAGGCGGAGATGAACCGTGGTGGAGAGCTGTGTGCGGTGGCGGTCGGCGTGTAAGAGTAAAGGGAGAAGTGTTAGGCTGAGATGGACTGCGATGGAGGGTTGTGTGCGGTGGCGGTCGGCGGGTGTAAGAGAAGGGAGAACGGTGGTGGTGGCAGTCTGTAAGAGAAAGGATTAGCCAGAGAACGGTTGGGAGAGGAGAAGTGTTAGGGTTTGGGAGCATAATGAAAAAATGACGAAGTGTTGTTTATATATTAGGGGTTGTCACGGACGGATCCGTGACAACACCCGTGACAAATTATATTCGAATTTTGAATTTTGAATTTGTCACGGAAAAATCCGTGACAAATTCGTCGGAAATTGAATACTGAGGGATGACAGTCGAGGCGTCAGGGAGCGGCAGACGAGGCGACAGAAGCGGCAGGTTGACCGGTTTGTCATGGATGGATCCGTGACAAATCCGTGACAAAATTCAAAAATTTGAATTTTGTCACGGATTTGTCACGGATCCATCTGTGACAAACCGTTTCAGAGAATATTAAAGCCTTTTCAGGTGAGGCGTCAGATAACTTAATTGTCACGGACCTATCCGTGACAAATTTAAGTATAAATATGTGTTTTGAGCCCCAATTTTTCAGTACGAAAAAATGGCTAATCCAGAACCAGATGTGTGGAAGTTGATCAGTAGAAGTGTACAACGATTAAAACAAGTTACACAGTTGATGAAGCCTCGAAATGCAGAAGCAGTTCAAAGCATCCGTGAGCTGATGAGTAGACCGCTTGAAAGCTTTGGTGACATTGTAGACTATGAATCAGACTCATACAACGTTTCACGAGGGAAAAACTTGTGTAGGGCACTTTTTCGCGCAGAACAATGTTCAGAGTATATGATACCTATAAACGCGGAAGCTGCAGAAAGAATTAACGAGCTACTTGATAGGCCTCTAGATGAAAGCTTTGACGCTAATGAATAATATTGTGTTTATTTGTTTATCTGTATTGTGAGTTGTTGAATGTAATAAATGATAAAAAATTGTGTGTTTTCTACTTAGTTTTTAAATTTAATAAATAAATTCATGTTCTTGTTTATTAAATTTCGAATTATTAAAATTTTGTAATGTTAAAAAACTAATAACAAATAATGTTAAAAAATTAGAATGATTAAAATTTAAATAATTTTCAATTTTCGAATTACCTAATTAATTTTAAATTTCCGAATTGATAATAATGAACCACTAATTTTCGATTGAATAATTTTAAAAACTTAATTTTATTAATTAATTAATCGCTATTTTACAATATAATATGGAATAATTATTTTGTTTAGAAATTATAGTTGCGAATTACATACCTAACTATCTTGAAATAATATAATAATGACGAAAGAAAGTTAAAAATTCAAATTAAAATAGTTCAATTAAAAGTAATTACATTGGTTGTTAACTATACATTTAATCGCTATCAGAATCAGTATTTTCTTGATAGCCAACTTCTTCTTCTGTATCTTCATCATCATATATCCATTCTTCTTCTTCCTCCTGGTCATCGTGCAGTTGCTGTATATATAATTCTTCAATTTCGCGCTCATTTTGAGGTATAGGGGGCGGAAGGTGTGTTTCAGGCATGACTTCAACATCTCCGCCATTTGGGTCACTTAACTGAATGTTATGGTTGACCGTGTCAGCAATAGGCGGAGGTTGGAAAAAATCTTGCTGAAAAGCATCAAAGTCAATATCCTTGTGTTGAGCCTGTGTTACAATTTTGCTCGGACGGATATTAATGGCACACACCCAAGGGTTCCGTGTGCGCCTCGTTGAAGGATACTCTGCATAATAAACTTGGGCTGCTTGTTGAGCGAGTATAAAAGGCTCATTTTTCTGATACACACGAGAGTGGTTGACGTCAATTATATTATACTTTGAATTTTTTCTCACGCCACGTGTAGGGTCGACCCATGTGCAACGAAACAACACGCATGTCAATTCTTGCAAACCAAAAGGCATTTGAAGTTCGAGAATCTCATGCAAGAAACCAAAAAAATTGGTTTCCGAGTTATCAGAACCGATGGTCGGGACACATAATCCGCTGTTCATTGTTGGTCGACCTTCTCCATATTCGACTGTGTGATACGTATAACCGTTTATCACATATGAATGCCAAACCTTTGCATAGGAAGAAGGTCCCCACGATAATGATACTAACAGAGGGTCGTTAATCCCACGGTACCTGATCTGCAAATTAAAACATGATAACATTAGGTAATGATTAAAAATTATTAGCTAATAGTATATATAATGTATTTATATATATATACCTACTGTTGGTACCATAATGCAAAGTCAGAGTCCACCATTGCATCAATTGCATCATCAGGAAATGCTGATAAAGACGCTCTAAATTCACTGTGATTTGAAACATAAAGATATTATTATAACACTCTAATTATTAAAAAAATATTAGCTATATTACAAATATAACTACCAATCAACTTACTTATAAAATGGTAAGATTTTTGGACAATTCATGAGGATGTAAGTATGTGCAATTTTTATTTCTCCGCCCACGATGTAACGGTAAGTCGCAGCTCCTTTACCTCTACCTGGGTAGTTGAAAATAAGAACTACTTTGTCATATAAATCCTCGTCAATGTCATCGTTCCGAGCAGGTCTCTTTCTTTTACTGAAGACGTCACGCTCAAAATAAAAAGATGAAAACGTTGAGGTTTCTTGTTGAATATATGCTTGACAAATTGAAGCCTCAATGTGTGCCTTGTTGGTCACTTTCTTTTTCAAATCTCCCAGAAATCTGTCATGCAAAATAAAATTTGTAAACAAACAAATGTTCTTATTAAACAAATCATCGTTTATAAATGAAATTGTGACTAACCTTTTGAATTTGTACATCCAACGATAGAAGACGAGCCCTCCATTCAAAGCCTCATACGGAAGATGTATTAGAAGATGTTCCATTACATCAAAAAATGATGGGGGCAGTATCTTTTCCAGATTACACATCAGAATAGGAACAATGTCTTCTAGTCTCCTGAGGGATTCAGCATCCAAAACGGTGGAACATATCAACTGAAACAATTGACTGATTTCGGTAATACAGCCCCAGACGTTTGCAGGAAGCATCTCTTTCAGTGCAATCGACAGAAGTCGTTGCATGATTACATGAGTGACATGCCAAAATGTGTAGTGTGAAATGGTGTAAAAATGTGAATGGAAATGATGTCTTAATTGGCTTGTAACGATATAGTATAGAGTAAGTGAGTATCGTTCCGCTAGAGAATGGCTTAAAAAGAGAACTAGAATTAATGATTGATTTTTAGCTAATCACAAATTAATAACATTTTGCAATGGAGCTAAGTGAACAGATTTTTTTATCTCGTTTTTGTCAATGCGGAATTGCTAGAGTAAAATAAATCACAAGACTTGGTAATTTAACAATTAATGATATAGAGAAAATTAGGCTTGGGCTAAGAGTAATTTTATTTTGATGTTCATAATAATAAAGATTTAACTAATTAACTTAGTTACTTTTAGGTGTGTGAAAGATTTACAAATTGTAATCTTCTAGTCGTTCCCACGACTTAGTTGATTACACTATCTCAAATTAATTCCGCTCCCGCGGTAATTTTATTAAGAAAGTAAAAAGTACAAAATCAAATTATCCTAAATTCCTTAACACTTTCGTGTAGCAATTTAGTGGGTGAATTAACAAAATGGATTTTAATGAAATTTCACTCCCGTGATAATATTCATTTCCCAATATAATGTATTTAGCAGATTAGAATATTCAACCCAACATTCCTAAAATTAACCAAGTAATAGTTTTAACCAATTATTATCGTATGAACATTAACAGTAAAAATTACATCTTGCCCAAACCTAAACTAATTTAGTTACACATAATTACAGTAAACGAAATAAAAGTAAAACTAATGATAGACATAATTAATTTAACAGATTAAAGAAAATAAAATGAGTAGTTGAATAAGAACCTGATGGCATAAATAATGAGATGGAATAGAGAAAGTAAAATCCTTAAGCTGAGAATGATTCTGGCTGATACTTCCCAAATGAACTTGATTGTTGAAATTAAAGAACTAAAATTCTGGAAATGAAAATTACGAACTGAAATTTACAGAAAGTGTTCTTGACAGAATCACTTTTATTATATGACTACTACTATGAACAAAGCTAAAGAAAAGAGGAAGAAGATTTCTCTCTGAATTGGTTATCTTTTGCAGCTCTGGAATGGTCCTTTATATAGGAAATTTTAGAATAGCTTGGAGCAAAAAGTCTTGTGATGAAGATGGTGATGGAATTGAGTTCCTATTGAAGAATAGTGCTCCGGATTCATTTTTCTTCTTCCATGCGGCGCCTGAAATGAAAGTTGTTGTAGCTTCTCTTGGTTTGTTGCTCAATGAACAAGATGATACGTATGTTGAGCTTCAATTGTATGGAAGGAATTCAAAGTATTACTATTGCATGGGTCCCTCTAATAATACAATGAATTTATTTTCTTTTCTTCTTGAGAGTTGAGAGCTTCATACGTATGGGCAGCCTTCAATTATTCACAAATGAGTGAATAGTTTTGTCAGTCAAAGTTTTGGCTCCACTTCCGCCACTTACTTATTTTGGCCGGTTAATTGTTTGATCAGTTAACTGGTCAGCCGTTAACCGGTACATTTTATTGCGGACAGTTTGGTTCATTCTGAAATATATTTCGGGTCTCTTGATAAATATTTCGGAGTTAAAGTAAGGACCCGCTTTAGTTTGGTTCTTTTTCAGTCTTCACTCGCGAGTAAATTTATTTCTTTTCAGAATCTCAATTTACATTCCGAATTATCCTGAAATTCAAAAAATATACCAAAACAAGTGCAATACCTTAAAATGTTCAAGATGATAAAAACCAATCCTTTTTATTTAAAAATGAGAAATAAAGTATTAAAAGTGTGAAACAAACAAGATCGTAAATATGGTAAATTAGGAGTACATCAATGAGCATCACGAGTTTTCATACTCGACGTCATTGTTTGTTTGTCCAGGTCCACGCATCTTGACAGGTTAGAGCAATAGCCATCTGGAAAGTTTAGAGAAACAAGCCACTATAATATTGATTCCCTTTGTGGGGCTGTGAGTTGGTAGACTGCTCTTGGATTTTTTTACCCACATATTCTAGATCGACGGCGAGTTCGGGTCTGTCGCACCAAATTGTCATGTCTTTTCTAGATGCAAGACCGTCTTTGGTTTTGTGGGTAAAATCCATAACCGTGTTAAATATATTGTCAAAGACGTTCTTCTCAACGTGCATGACATCTAAATTGTTACGAATGAGAAGGTCTTTCCAATATGGCAACTCCCAAAATATACTCCTCTTTGTCCACTTATGGGTATCACAATACCCATTTGGCTCCCCGTAGGGTTGCTGCACAGCCGTAGGAAAACGTCGAACCCGGTTAAAAACTTGTTCACCTATAAGTCTCGGAGGAGGGGGATCTCGTACCAATCTTCCGGCAATAAAAGACTTCTTGTCCTTTCGATATCGATGGTTCATAGGCAGGAACTTGCGGTGACAATCAAAGTAACTTGGTTTCCCGTTAAATTTGAGCCAATTGGCATCTGATTTCTCCATACATATCGGACATCCCATAAGACCGTGTGTGCTCCATCCTGAAAGCATACCATAGGCAGGGAAGTCGCTAATGGTCCAAATGATGACAGCTTTCATGATAAATATTTCATCTCTTGAAACATCATAAGTTGGTGTCCCAATGGCCCAAAGTTCTTTCATCTCCTCGATCAGGGGTTGGAGATAGATGTCTATCCTTTTTTTAGGATCCGAGGGACCTGGACAAATTAAAGTTAAAAAGATGAAATGACTTTTCATGCACATGTCGGGAGGAAGATTATAAGGAGTTAGCATAACTGGCCAACATGAAAATTTCTTCCCAAACTTTCCAAAAGCAGCAAATCCGTCTGAACACAATCCCAGTCGCACATTCTGTGGCTCCATTGCAAACTGAGGATGACAACGGTCAGTGTCTCCAAGCTTCACAGTCGGAAGGGTGAGACATCAAACCCTCTTTGGTTTCGTGCTCAACATGCCACGTCATGTGTTTCGCAGTAGCATTTGAAGCATACATCCTCTTCAGGCGTGGAGCTAGAGGGAGGTAAAACAATTTAGACAATGCAGACCTTTTTCGTAGTTTTTTTCGTCTATGAGGAACAAGTTTGTATCTCTCTCCACCACAGAACTTGCAGCTCTCAAGTGCCACATCATCCTTCCAGAACAACATACATCCTTCCGGGCACGCATCAATTTCTATACAAGGAAGCCCCAACTGAGACATTAATTGTTTCATTTTGTAATATGAATCAGGAAGATTATGGTCACGCGGTAACATTCCTTCAAATGACTGCAATAACATAGACATGCAAGATTCAGGGAGACTGTATTCTGATTTAATGTTCATCAACTCTGTAACGGCGGATAGCTGAGAGTATCCCTCACAATCAGCATACAGAGGCTGATCGACAGCTTTTAAAACATCTTGAAATCTTTCAGCTAAGTCTTCAATATGAGGAACATGAGAATTCGGATACTCATCCGCATCGGGCTGATAAAAGGTCAGATCTTCATCCGCATCTGGTTGATACGATGTCGAAGCTTCGGGAAGATCGTTAAATGCTTGTGGGGGGTTAAACTGAATCGTTGAAGCACCGTATACATCATATGCCATTCTTTGATCCCACGTCATTTGATCATAGTCTCCCCATCCACTCATCTCGGTAGGGACGTTACGAGATGAACCTACTGTTTGTGGTAAAAGTGATGGATCGAAAGGTTCGCCATGAGAAGTCCAATTATAATTGGCAACGAAATCTTTTTCGTACAAATCCCACACAACTTGGTCGACATCTTTAAATTGAAGATTTTTACACTTTGTACATGGACATCTGATTTTATCGCCATCCATATAATTCTTCTGTTCTTGTGCAAATTTAATAAAATCTTCAACACCATTAAAAAATTCGTTGCGTATTCCATAGTTATCGCGATGTTTTTGGTACATCCAACTTCTGTTTTGTCTATACATTATGCCTGTATATATATTATAATCAAAATATTATATAAGTACATTAAGTAACGTTCAATTAATATTATTAATTAACTAAAAGCAGTACATTTGTGGCATTAATAATTTGAATTAACTAACTTTTCAATCATGACTAATTCATATTTAGAAACATTAATGTGTTAAATTTCACTAAAATTAATATGTCAATGGCCGGAGTTAATAATTTACTAATATAATGTTCACTAAAATTAATACAACCTAAGCTAGCTCGGTTGAACTTAGTGAACATAGAATATATTAAAAATGTTAATATATTGGCCGGAATTTAAATAATTTACTACTATAATATTTTAAACATATATTTCAGTAAGTTCACTAAACTAACTAATATTAAAAATTTAAGCTGGCCGGAATTAATAATTTACTAATATAATGTTCACTAAAATTAATACAACCTAAGCTAGCTCGGTTGAACTTAGTTCACTAAATTAACAATTATCACCAATATGTTATAATGTTTACTAAAGTTCACTAAAACCTCAGAATAAAATATTAAAGATTATTTTATATATTTCACTCAAGTAACATTAATATATTAAATTTCATTAAAGTTCACTAAAATTAACTAACGTTCAATTAAAATTACTAATTAACTAATAGTAATATGTTAATGGCATTAATCATTTTAATTATTAACTAATTCACAATATTAGAATTTGTGCACCAAACACACTAAATTATTACGTTAATGGCATTTATTCACAATACTAAAATTATGAAAATCTAATAGTACACATTAAATAATTAACTAACATATAATACTAATTAAAGTTATCACGTCAATGGCATTTATTCACAATACTAAAGTTAACTAATTTAACTTATTAATTAGTTAATTTCCATTTAACTAATATTGTTAAATATCATTAATTCACAATAATATATAATTCACACTTAACTAATAAAGTTTGAATCCTAACTTAAATCACTACAAATCCTAAATTATGCATTAACAATAATTATTGCTAATAAACAAATTAAACCTAATCATCATTGGTTATAAACCCATTTCAATTATCTAATATTTAAATCTAACTAATATTATCAACTCAAATTCTAAACCCATTTCACTAAAGTTCAATGTTTTAACTTAGTTAATTAATTTACATTTAACTAATATTATTGTTAAATATTATCTCATTAATTCACAATAATAATTCACACTAAACTAATTAATAAAGTTTCAATCCTATATTATGCATTAACAATAATTGCTAATAAACAATAATTGGTGATAATAACCTAAGCTAGCTAACTTAAATCACTACAAGTCACTAATTAATCTATAATAAGCTAGCTAATACTTAAATCACTACAAATCCTAAATTATGCATTAATAACAATAATTGCTAATAAACAAACCGGCCTAATCATTGGTGATATAAACTCATTTCAATTAACTAATTAATATTTATATTTAAATTTAACTAAATTACGTTAATAGTTTAATAATATATTGTTAATAATATGAAAATTAACATGACCTCACTAAATTACGTTAATAGTTTAAATAAATGAACAACTAACCTCACTAAGCTAATAATTTATTACATAATTAAAAGAAATTAGTTAAAATGACATACCTTATCTGCATAAACAGGAAAAATGATGAACTGACAGATTACATCATTCAATCTTTAAACCGATACTACATCACTCAAATCTACGGATTTTTGAACCGATAAGTGTTGTTCTTGCAATTGTAATGGACGATGGGGTTGGGATATATAAAAAAATTTGTCACGGATTTGTCACGGATTTATCCGTGACAACCCCTTTTTCGTACTGTATTATTAAAGGTTGCCGTTCGAAAATCAATAATTGAGGTTTGTCACGGATTTTGTCACGGATCCATCCGTGACAATTTCTTTTAAAATTTGTCACGGATTTGTCACGGATCTGTCCGTGACAAATGCCCGGGAGCAAAAAATGTTTTCGCCGGAGTAAAAAACTGGTCGCCGGAGTAAAAAACCGGTCGCCGGAGTAAATTTGTCACAGACCAAATCCGTGACAACACGTTTTCGTGACAAATCCCAATATTCCGTGACAAAGCCCGTGACAACTTTGTCACGGCCGTAATCCGTGACAAAAAACCGTGACAAAACGCGAGTTTTTTGTAGTGGGTACTGAATAGCCTTTCCTACACACTGTATGGTTTGGACTTTGGCGAACCACACATCAGATTTGAGACATAGCCAATAAATGAGCAATCTATTACTTTCGGCAATTGAAGAACAGTTTCAGTAACAAGTTAGGTTTTTTCATTTTTTTCGACAACTTCATTATTTCCAGGAGTGAATCGCTTCATTGGTTCATTTTAATTTTAATGTTCTTTTACTCAAATACTTCATTTTCCATCTTTTTCTTGATTTCGTCATTTGCATCTTCATGAAGTTCTATTTGATAGTTTTTCAATAACAAACCAATTTAAGAAAAATGTCGTGTAAGATCCCGC